ATACCTAACGCGCATTTTAACATTTTTTAAAAATTATCTCATATATCATATAAAGTAAAGGAAGTAACCACTATACTCCAAACCTGGCACGTCGCAATGTTTATATCATATTTATTTAGGTCCGATACGAAATGGACAATATTGGCCCATTCCTTCGGAATCTACTCCATAGAGGGTGAAAAATGTGAATAATCATAACAGATGTCAAAATACATGTAAATAATAGAATATTGGCTGGGGTTATATATCTGTCGGCAAAACCGGCTGATACTTCTTATCTTCTTTTTAGTATTATTTAAGAATTTTGTCTTTTATAAACATATTAAAACTCCCGGCACAATCGAACAAAACTCCATAAGATTTGACGGAAGAATGCAACCCCTATTTACACGTGACAGCGATTTCACATTTTATTTGCCTTTTTATTACAGCTGTCAAACTTACAACGCTTTAAAATTTTACACATTCTTCGAAATAGTTTTGGCAAATACGAAACACTTACATACATACATAGATACATACATACATCCACATGACTTTTGACACCCGTTTCCTTTCGTCGAAATAAAACAACGTCATTATAATATGCCTATTTAAAGCCCAAAATGATTGGCGATGAGTTTGAGTAAAACTCATTACAATTTCAGATTATTTTCACCTTTTCGACCTGGAATTTTTATGTGCGTACAGAAAATTAAAAGACTGAGGTATTGTACGAAGAAAGAAACATTCTAAATTTGGAAACATTCCATTCAGTTTGGAACGGAAAAATGTCTCAACATAAAACAAACGAAAATAAACGATATTTTTTTTCTTAAAACACCGAGGCATTCCCACGACAGTGAAGTTAAGCATTCGTAAAGAACCGAATATATTCGTTAAAAAAAGAAAGGTCCATCACCCTTAAAAAACATGCCAATTTATGCGGTTTGCCATTTTTTGTATAATTTGGCTGTGCTCCTCGCATAACCACGAACGGCACAATCCATGACTGGCAATGTAGTTTTTTTCTTTTAGTCTATATAAATATTTTATTTATATTCCTAGACAGACGCATCTGCGACCACGACACTGATATGGGGTTATCTGACCAGACTAGACTAAACCAAATGCTCGCTCACACACATATAACTCAGACTAAAGCCCCTGAAACAATTAATCACAATCACACTGCGATACGCACTTCGAATTAATGTCAAACTGTATTCAAATGCAAAAAAAAAAATCAATCTTTGATAATATTTTGGAATCCAAGCAGGGGTGTAGTGCACTGATTGATTGATTTTGAAATAAAAACATATCAGGCCTCTGGCTTTAGAGTTGTTACTCAAGAGTGCAATTCTCTCACGGATGGGATTACTCGAAGAGTGGGAGTTTTATTTAGAATTTACTCATCACACTTTTGTTTTGTGAGGGAGTGCTCCCGAGTCATTATTGTCCATTTCGTATCGAACCTAAATAAATATGATATAAACATTGCGGCGTGCCAGGTTTGGACTATGTTGCTTACTTCCTTCACTTCACATGAGATATGTCATAATTTTTAGAAAATTTAAAAAAGCATGTGAGGTCCCAAATATATATAGTCGACAGAAGTATTCCATTTTCATGCTCCATCTAATACAGATAAAAATATTGGTATGGGCAGAATTACAAGAAAATTGAACATTTATATCCAATCCTATGCGAAATCATAAATTCCATATTCATCTCAGGTTTCTGGTTGTTATATCTTAATATTTCGATATAACAAGTTGTAAATAATCGCTGATTTGTTTCGCAAGTTACAGATAAAAGTATTAAAAATTGTGACCCTATGTGAGTGAGTTACCAGAAGCGGTTCGCAAATTTTTATCATCTTCGCAACAGATTTTGGTTACCAAAAATGTTTGTATGTGTGACATTTGAAGGCAGTGAGATGCTCATTTCGCTTTCTTTGAGCGTTATGTTTTTCAAAATTTTGAACCCTATGTGGAGGAGGTACCAGAAGAAAACATCCGATCTCTACCATCTTTATAACTGATCTTGTGTTGATGGAAATATTGAGATGTACCATGACTGGAATGGAATCGGATGTTGATTTCGCTTTTTATGAACTTCATGGATATTCAAAATTTCGTGGGGGAGATATCATATAGAGTGGACCGATATATTCCGTCTTACTGCCAGATCTTGGGCTCATAAAAATAGCAGGATGTGCGAAATTTTAAGTCAATCGGACTCTTACATCATATATTTAAGAGTTACATTTATTCAAAATTTTGACCCTTTGTGAGAGAGACACTTGAGGGAGTGGACCAATATTATCCATTTTGGCACGAGACCCATAACTGACGCAAATATTAGGATTTGCAAAATTAGAGCAAAATTAGATTAGTGCTTCCCTTTCTGTGCAGAAAATATTTTTTTTGCAAATTTCGACCATTTGTGGGGGAGGTACCAGAAGGAGTGGACCGATATATCACAGCTGATCTTGTGTTAGTAGATCTTGTGTGTGAATTATGAAGAGAACCGTATGCTTATTTCAGATATTATAATCGTTTTGGTTATTCAAAACGTTGACTCTTCTTTGGGGGAGTTACCAGAAGGAATGGTTAGATCTCTGTCATCTTTATAACAGATCTTGAACTGATAGAAATATTGAGATGTGCCAAGGCTGAATGGAATGACATATTAATTTCGCGTTTTATGAACTTCATATTATATACTGAAAATGTTAACCATTTTGTTGGGAAGGTACCAGAAGAAGGTGACCGAGATTGTCCATTTTCGCATCTTACTAAGTTGGAGAAAAATCGGATCACTCTTTTCTTTCTGTGTAGCAAAATATTTTTTGAAAATGTCGACCTTTTGTGGTGAGGTGCCGATATTGCCCTTCTTCGAACTCGATATAAGTTTGATAATAATATTACGATGTACCAAGTTTGGACCGAATCGGATACTGCCTTCGAGAGTTATCGTGCGCACCATCCAGCCTGACAGACGGTCGGACGGGCATCGCTAGATCGACTCCAAATTTCCTGAAACGGATGTAGTCCAAGGTCAGACGAGAAAATTATACTCACCTTTGTTCGAGCGAACGAGAAAAATAGAGTTTGCTCGTTTTGTTGTTTCCACTCCCAGAAGTTCTCCCACTCGAGTTCGAGTTAAGAGTGAAACACGCTCGATTTTTATTTCGAAGGTCTGATTGTATGATTCTACCAAAATATTCATCCTTCCATGTCTATTAATCAAAATCGGTTTCGGTTCATCAGATAGTCCGTCTGCCTGTCTGGTTGGAACACATATACCTCTCAAATGACAAATCGGATCCGGGTCAAATTCTCTCATTTGATATAAAAAAATCTCGATCGAATAAAATCTTTAGCTTGATTTTATTAAAAATGATAGTGCAACGACTAAAGGTCAAATGTTAGATTCGAACATTCTGACCCCTGTTTAAATATTTGCATCTGTAATATTTCCATAAAATTTAGATGGAGTAAAAGATGGTCTACTCCTTCCGCTACCTACCAAACAGATCACCAGAATTTTCAGAAAACAATGTCTCATAGAAAGCAAAGGAAGTAATATTTGTAGCAGACATAGAACAGGTAAGAAAATAGGCAGTAACGGTCAAACATCCCCCCAAAAATAGTCAAAAATTAAAAAAAAACTAAAAAGCAGTGGCTACACTCTGGTGGGGCTGAACTTGGGATATCCCACACAACTATAATTTAATGTAAAGTTTTTGTAGATTCGAAGACCCTTGGACTAGAACGAGCTTTATAAAATATCGCTCTAAAAACCAATAGCTTTCTATTCGCTCTGAATCGAGATTACATGGACTGATGGAAAATAGTCGAGGTTCAACAGAAATTCTGGTATTTTTCACACATTATGCTTATGGTCTATTTCACTGTCTAAATATCCAATGGCGCTTTAAATTGGTAGACCTCTAACCTGTCTTAAACTCTTTCTCAAAATTTCGTTTCGATTGGTCGACAATTGTGACCTGTAGAGCAAAATCAGGAAAATTTTCTGTTTTCATTCCATTTCAACCCTTAAATACTTTGCGACCTCCAAAAATATAAGGCTTCCATTCTGACTCTTAGGTCAACTTCGTGTCAAATTTCGCGAGAATAGCTCCATATTTGCAACCTGTAGCGTGATTACATGGACAGATGGACACAAATAGATAGATCTACTTAGCTCGGCGAGATAGGAAGATCAATTTGTAATATCGAAGGTCTAACATCAATATTTCGAGGCGTGACAGACTTTTTGTTGTAGGGTATAAACATAACTCCACCACCATTTGAAAGGAACTTGAAAATTAAATAAAAATATATCGTCGAAAAATATAGATTATCCCTTATATGAGGGCTATACGAAGACGAGTACTTGCATACGTAATTTTTTTTTGTCATGGGCTGTAGTGCTCATTAGAATTTTCAAATACGAAATTTAAAACAATTCCGTTAAATAATGACGCTAATATCATGAAAATACCGAAAAAATTTAGGTATCGTTATATGGTGGCTATACGATGATGTGGACCTCCATACGCATTTTTTTAACAATGGCTGTAATAATGCGAAATTTACCATAAAAATACCGAATATTGGATGCTATCGATATGTAGAGCTATACAAAAATGTGGTCCTGCATAAGTGATTTTTGCCATAGGTTGTAGTACCCATTAAGATCTTTCAATACGAAACTCGAAACAATTCCGGTCTATAATGTCGCTAAATTCATCAAAATACCGAATATTGAAAGGTATCATATGAGGGCTATACGAAAATGTGGACCGACATGATCCACTTACAAAGTTATCCTGCACACCGACAAAATAGAATAGTTTTCTCCATATTAACTCTGGAGTGAAGATAGAATATATTTCTCTCCCCTTTATCTTTCTCTCCGGTATCTTTCTTACAAAAATCACAACATTCAAAGTACATGTGTATATATCTCTTTTATATAAGAGAATGTATTGAGTATATTTTTGTACTTACCACTTTCTTCCTGCATTTGCGTTTCAGCCGGTGTTGCCATTCTTTCAATTTTATACCAACTGTCTTTGGACCCAGTAACAAGTCGTTTTGTCAGCAACATACATGCCTGTTACCAGCACCAATCATGATATTGTTGTTTTGTCTTGTTTTATATATGTATTTTTTAAATCATCATTTTATTGCGGTGTCAAATAGGGCTGCGCGGCAGATACCTGTAATAAATTATTCCCATAAATAATAAATTATTACAAATTTACAGCAATTTAATCATTGATTACACCATAAACTGGTTTTAATTATAAGCTAAATGAAATGGGGTTTAATGCAGCAATCATTTGTGGTTTATGGCCGTCAACCCACCACTACCAGAGTAGGGTAGTATAATTCGTCTTCACTGGCAGTTAACCCCCCCAATAGCAATTTGTCCATAACTTATTTTGTGTTTTTTTTTTTTGTTTATTATTTTATGGTTACAAAAACAACCTAATATTGGTCATATAAACTAATCAATTGACGTTATATTTTTATACTACCCCTTGCATACATATAGAGAATTGTTGGCATAAGTATTGTTGTTGCCTTCGATTTTCAGCTCGGAACAATCGCACACATTCCCAATCGTGCATTTCACGTTTCAAGATTTTTGTTGTGTGGTATTCGATCGATCGATAGATAGATAAACTCAAACCAGTAGGGGCTATTAACAAGATAAGAGATAGGTATATATGTATTTTTTACAGGTTTACCAATAGGTTGGACTATAAAAATTTTGCCTTTTAATTGCTTGTGGTCACTATATACTAAAGCCCACGTAGGCTATATAACGTTTTTGTGTTTTGGGACTGTTTTGAGAGCTTTAACCATTGAAAATCCTAGAAAAGCTACAATAAGTCTTATGTGGAACTTAGTAAAGTAGATTTTGAAATTATATCTAAAATAACCGTTATTATTATTAGACTAAAAATAACAAGTAAAACAAATAAAAAAGCTGTAAGTTCGGCCGGGCCGAAATTTGAATACCCTCCACCATTTGGAATGAATTTGGCAATTCTCAAAAACAATGAAATCCGTTAAAAATTCTGTTAAAATCTTAAAACTACCGAATGTAGCTGTTATATTAGGGTCTATACGACGACATGGTAACATTCAACTGGATAGGTAACATTTGTCATAAGCCATTACCATATTCAAATGCCAAAATTAAAAAAAATCGGTAACAATGTACAAATCATCAAAATACCGAATATCGGGAAGTACTGTTATATGGGGTTTATACGAAGGCGTGGACCGGCACAGACAATTTTCTGTTTTAGGCTATAGTATCCATTACGAACTTCAAATACCAAATTTGAAACAATTCCGGTGAATAATGTCGCTAAAATCATCAAAACGCCGAATGTCGGGAGGTAGCATTGTATGAGGGCTATACGAAGACGTGGACCGGCACAGACAATTTTCTGTCTTAGGCTGTAGTATCCATTATGAACTTCAAATACCAAATTTTAAACAATTCCGCTGAATAATGTCGCTAAAATCATCAAAATGTCGAATGTCGGGAGGTACCGTTGTATGGGGCTATACCAAAACGTGGACCTACATTTTCAATACCAAAATACTGCAGACATAACGTACATTTGGGTAAAATTTTATCAATCTACTTCAATTCGTTCGGAAGCTAGAGTGATTTCCACAGAGGGATAGACGGGCGGACATAGCTAAATCGTCTTAGAATTTTACGCTGATCAAGAATATATGTACTTTGTGGGCCCTAAAATGTATATTTCGAGGTTTTACAAACGGAATGACAAACTTAATATACCCTCCATACTATGGTAGAGGATATAAAAATAAAAATTAAGGCCGGGCCGTACTTTTACTACATTTTACCAAGTGGAAGGAATTCTAAAAATTAATCATAGTACTCATTGCGAACTTTAAATTCCCTATTTGAAAAAGTGGCTAAAATCATCAAAGTACCGAATACATGGAGGTACAGTTAAATGAGGACTGTACTAAAACTTGGACCTATATGGACAGTTCTATGGGGATATTGCTATATGGGATGGGAGCACAAACTGAGAATTTACAGTGAATTTGGGTTAAACTTGTAAGAAAAAGAACCAAAAGATCTTAAATCTGCCTGTAGACCTGAAAGAAATCTATGTAATTTTTTTGTACGGAAACTAAAGCGAATTCCACAGACGGAAAACGGCCGGACGGACGATCAACGACAAATCGACACAGAATTTCGGGCGGTTCAAGAATATACAGGGTGAGATTAATGCAAATAACTTCAGACTGCTGTCATTTCTAAGCTGAACTAAAGCGAATTCCACAGACGGAAAGGCGGCCGGAAGGACGGTCAACGACAAATGGACACAGAATTTCATGCGGTTCAAAAATATGCTGGGTGAGATTAAAAACAGCAACCAATTTCAGACTGCTGTCATTTCTAAGCCACTCGTCCGACAGCTCTTAAAATTACTCCAGTGGCAGCTCATTATATTGCTTACAAGCGTACAAAAGCATTTTGCTGAGAATTTTCCAGAAAAAAAAGTTATTCGTGATGGAATTCAAGCGTGATAGTGTGATCACTTTATATTTGATTGGAGAACCACAAGTGGCTATCGTTAGAGCATTCCAGCACTTAAATGTGAATAAATCTTTTGTGTCTCGTACCATCGCTCGTTACCGTGATACTACTGGTAGAGTAGCCCGACGTCAAAGAAGTGGACGGAAGAAAACAGTAACATCTGCAGAAATGGTTCGAAAAGTAAAGAAGCGTCGAGAGCTGAACATATCGCAATATTCCATTCGGCAAATATTAAAAAATGAGCTCGGGGTAAAGCCATTGATATTCCAAAAAGTGCAAGAACTTACACCGCAACAAAAAGAAAATAGACTCAAACGAGCTAAAGAGTTGCTTCACTTGGCCGAAGGTGGTGAACTGCCGAATTTGGTTTTCTCCGATGAGAAAACATTCGTTGTGCAGCAGTTTGTAAACAATTAAAATGATCGTTTAAGTAAAAACGGCAAGTAAGCCAAAGAGGTCAGCTGAAAATGTGCACCTTCGGTTGGCCACCAGGACTCAAACGTCGGCGATGGTGATGGTGTGGGCCACCATGGCAGCCGATGGTCGCTCTCCGCTCGTATTAATCGCCCGTGGCATCAGAATAAATGGCGAATATTATCGCAAAAATATTTTGGAGGGTGTATTAAAGCTTTGGGCATGCAAACGTTTTGGCCGCAGACCTTGGACATTCCAACAGGACTCAGCACCCAAGAATGGTTACAAAATAAAGTTTCTCGCTTCATTTCCAGCGCTCAATGGCCACCAAAATCTCCGGATACCAATCCGTTGGACTATTGTGTCTGGAGTATTTTGGAAAGCAAGGTTGGCACTAAAAAATGCCAAAGCCGGGAATGTGCCAAAATATTGCAGAGCAACATTCGGGCAGCGTGTGACGGTTTCATTGCCCGTTTGAAGGCCTTAATTCGTGATAAAGGTGACATGTGCGTGAAGATAAAAACGTTTTTAATTTTCGAACACTTTCAGTTGTATAACAGTGTATAACAGTTCAAAAACGTTTTTGTATATGAACGGAAAATAAAAACGATTTTCTAGGTTATAATAAAAACGTTTTTCAACGTGTTAGACTTTTAATCTTAGTCATTTGTTTGATTTACGAAAAACGATTTTTATTATCTCCTAGTAAATGAAATACTAATACAATACAATATGTATTGATCTAAGCATTTCATTGTAGAAATTTTGAGAAAAAAATTTATCATCGAAAAATACGATTTTATAGGACAAAATATGTTTTGGCCTATATCTCAGGATCAAAAAAGGATACGCGTATATGGAAGGTATCGTTAGAAAGGTGATTCCTTCTACTTTCCGAATATGTATTGATCTAAGCATTTCATTGTAGAAATTTTGAGAAAAAAATTTATCATCGAAAAATACGATTTTAAAGGACAAAATATGTTTTGGCCTATATCTCAGGATCAAAAAAGGATACGCATATATGGAAGGTATCGTTAGAAAGGTGATTCCTTCTACTTTCCGAATATGTATTGATCTAAGCATTTCATTGTAGAAATTTTGAGAAAAAAATTTATCATCGAAAAATACGATTTTAAAGGACAAAATATGTTTTGGCCTATATCTCAGGATCAAAAAAGGATACGCATATATGGAAGGTATCGTTAGAAAGGTGATTCCTTCTACTTTCCGAATATGTATTGATCTAAGCATTTCATTGTAGAAATTTTGAGAAAAAAATTTATCATCGAAAAATACGATTTTATAGGACAAAATATGTTTTGGCCTATATCTCAGGATCAAAAAAGGATACGCGTATATGGAAGGTATCGTTAGAAAGGTGATTCCTTCTACTTTCCGAATATGTATTGATCTAAGCATTTCATTGTAGAAATTTTGAGAAAAAAATTTATCATCGAAAAATACGATTTTAAAGGACAAAATATGTTTTGGCCTATATCTCAGGATCAAAAAAGGATACGCATATATGGAAGGTATCGTTAGAAAGGTGATTCCTTCTACTTTCCGAATATGTATTGATCTAAGCATTTCATTGTAGAAATTTTGAGAAAAAAATTTATCATCAAAAAATACGATTTTATAGGACAAAATATGTTTTGGCCTATATCTCAGGATCAAAAAAGGATACGCGTATATGGAAGGTATCGTTAGAAAGGTGATTCCTTCTACTTTCCGAATATGTATTGATCTAAGCATTTCATTGTAGAAATTTTGAGAAAAAAATTTATCATCGAAAAATACGATTTTATAGGACAAAATATGTTTTGGCCTATATCTCAGGATCAAAAAAGGATACGCGTATATGGAAGGTATCGTTAGAAAGGTGATTCCTTCTACTTTCCGAATATGTATTGATCTAAGCATTTCATTGTAGAAATTTTGAGAAAAAAATTTATCATCGAAAAATACGATTTTAAAGGACAAAATATGTTTTGGCCTATATCTCAGGATCAAAAAAGGATACGCGTATATGGAAGGTATCGTTAGAAAGGTGATTCCTTCTACTTTCCGAATATGTATTGATCTAAGCATTTCATTGTAGAAATTTTGAGAAAAAAATTTATCATCGAAAAATACGATTTTAAAGGACAAAATATGTTTTGGCCTATATCTCAGGATCAAAAAAGGATACGCATATATGGA